ATAATTTACCTAATTTTGCTATACTCATTTGTGTAGTTATTAGAAAAAAGTAAATGAAACTTGAATTAGAGAAGACTTTTTTCTTTAACTTTTGGGCATCTATGATGTTGGGAGTATAAGATTGATATTATTGACCAAAAATTGGGTTTTGGAGCTATAGTCACCAACAGGTTTCAATTTCACATACTACCCCTCCTGTACTACCCTGGAAGACTGAAGGTTGGGCTATTAACTTATATTCCCTGCAGTTCCCAACCCTGAGTAGCCAGAGCTTGAGCTTATCCATCTGGGAACTGGAGAGTGGGCCTCTATGGCACTCCTGGGTAGAACGGAGTTAATGGTGCTGGATTTCCTCACCCTCATTTTGAGCTCTCTTCTGGACAAGACCAGCTCATGTTCATCCATTCTTCCTCCCACCAGAGAAAGTAGAAGAAAATCATAATATTGGATTTAAAAATATTCGCTGTTTGTGTGTCGGGTGTGGTGGCCCACAACTGTGATCCAAAAAGTGGGGGAGATGAGGCAGGAAGAATATTGTCAGTTTTAAGATGGCCTGGGGTGCCGGGCGGTGGTGGAGCACGCCTTTAATCCCAGCACTCGGGAGGCAGAGCCAGGAGGATCTTTGTGAGTTTGAGGCCAGCCTGGGCTACCAAATGAGTTCCAGGAAAGGCGCAAAGCTACACAGAGAAACCCTGTCTCAAAAAAACAAACAAACAAACAAACAAACAAAAAGATGGCCTGGGGTACAGAGTGACACTGTATCTTTATACATGCACACACACACACACACACACACACACACACACACACACACACACACACACACACACGCAGGTTTTAATTCACTACTGTGTGTGTATCTTTGCTTCAGACGCTTGTCATACTTTATCACATTGTGGTTTTTCTCTATTCACATTCTAGTTTCGAGACTCTTCCTCCTCAGAACCATGAACACAATGCCACTTCTGATCTCTGTGAAAACCAGAAGAGAGGGTACTTGATGAGTCAGCAAATGAAAAATGAAAATCACTGAGACTGATTGCACCATCCTATAATCCCAGCTATCAGGGATGCTGAGACAGGAGGATTGTAATTTAAGGCTTTCCTGGGCTACAAAGTGACATTAAGGCTAGCCTGGGGAATTCTGTGAGTTCCTGTCTCAAACTAAGAAGTAAAAAGTGGCTGGGCAGCGTAACTCAGGAAGCCTGCTTACCCAGCATTCACAAGGTCTAGGTTCAGCACCTCCTACCTTGAGACAAAAAGAAAGTCTACTTCTTTTCCTGTACAATATCATTAACACGTTTTATGGTGACAGTGGGGGATTCTTTGGTGGAGTCTCAAAGGAGGGGTCACCATTGAATGACTTCTTTTCTGTGTTCACTTCTTATCCACTCTTCTCCGTGACCATCAGGATGCAAACCCTGGGCCTGTATTTTCTAAAGGCAGAAAAACCAACTGAACTATCCAAGCCGACCTCCCTTCTTCTGTGATCTGAGCAGGTGGTTCCGCCTCAGTGGATGACAAACAGTCAGACCAACACATTTATTCAGTGCCAGACAGTGGCAACTCGGCAGGGTTAAACGAGAGCTATGAGTCTGCCTTGGGGCTGTTTTATACATGAGACCAGAAATGGAACCCAAACCAGCAGGGGAGAAATGCTGTTTACACTGTCACAAACACCAAGAAGAACATGCCTTGAATGCTCTGTCAAGGTTAGCTATTCCTGTAACCAAAGGCATTCTTAACAAAGCCACACAGTTCTGTCTGTGGGTGGATTTCCACAGAGTATAGAAATCCACTGGACTGAGGAGGAGCGAGAGCCAGGGGCAGAATATTTGTTAGGTGTGCTCAAGGCCCCAAGTTCAGTCCTCAGCACTACAAACATTCATCAAATATCCAATCATGTATTAAATGCACATTAGACATATGGGCTGAATGCTCTCTTCATGGTGACTTTCAGGACCCCTCAAATGCCAGTGGAAAACATTGGTGCCCCTGCCTCTGCCCTCAAAGATTCTGAGCCAATATATCTGGGGTGGGGCTATGCAGCTGTATTTCATAATGTACCCCATAAAATTATTGATTCAGGTAAAGTTAAGATTCATACAAGGTCCTGGATTGCTTATTCCCTAAAAAAGCCAATGTTTTCTTTGTGTTTGGTGTTATGTGTCTCCAGTACTCCTAACTGGATCCAGCAGGGACAGGTAAGGAACAAGATGGGAGCCGGGCGGTGGTGGCGCACGTCTTTAATCCCAGCACTCGGGAGGCAGAGGCAGG